GGGGAATCCTGGGAGTTGAAGTCCAGGCATCTCAAAGTTGCCAAGGTTGAGAAACACTGATCCAGATGCTTGGGATAAGGTTGGGGCAAGATGCTTTGCACTTCAAATGTTCTGCCCTCCAAAGCTTTTGCACACCTGTAATCTTCCATAATGGAGCAAAGTTCTCCCCTCAAGGCCCTAGGCAACCTCTACCAAATCAGTTGGCCAAACTACTTTCTGGGTTCCATCCACACCTGACGATGCCCACTGCTCCAGTCATCAGACCCAATGGCTTTACGGTGGACACCAGGAGAAAGATCTTTGGCTGAGTTTCCTAAGGCCAGGTTCCAGGTACCACTTTGCTGGAGCTCCCTTACCTGTGCTGGGCCTCAGGCGATTCTCAGCGAGCTCCGAGATGGCCCCCGTCGTTATGGTCTTCTTCAGCCTGGAGCCTCCTGAGGCTGTGATACCTCCTGGCTTGGACAGCATATCTTCACTGCTGGCTCTCTTCAGCTGCAGGAGGGGAGAGCGTTAGAGCCCTTGCAGGCCAGTGGGACAAGGGAGGTCTGGGAGGGTGGTCCTGCCCACCCCTTCTTCTGCTGTCTAGTGCAAGGATGGGAGACATGCACAGCCCAACTCCATTGGGACAAGGTGCAGGCCAACAACTTCCCACAGGAGGTGGAACCTCTTCTATCAGCTGCTCTTTACCTTTGTGTTGAGATCTTCCAAAGTATGGGGTCCTTGGCGCTCTCTGAGCTGGGTGGTTTGCTTGCAGACTTTTCATAGCCCAACTAGGGAACATCATCAGTGCTGGTGAGTGTGGGGTCTGCTCCCTGTTTATATACAGCAGCTTGACCCACCAGTTTTTGTATATATTTACACACACACATACACACACCAACAAATCAGAGGAACACCCATGGGGTCACCACCCTCAGGACTCATAGCAGAGATTGTAATGCAACGCGTAGAAACTACAGCACTCCCACACATACAACCCAAAATATGGATCCGGTATGTAGATGACACCTTGTTATAATAAAAAAGGAGCAACCGGAGAAGGCGCATGAAGCCATCAACAACATCTTCAAAGGAGTAAAACTCACAAGGAAGAAGAAAGCAGCAACACGGGACCCTTCCTGGATCTCCTCATTAGCAGAGGTCACGACGGCAAATTGGAAGTGCAAGTCTGTGGAAAAGGCAGGCTACGCTACCCAGAGTAACAACCCAACCTCCCACAAGGGGAACTGCGTAAGAACGTTTTTCAGATGAGCACAGACACACTGCAGCAACCCAGAACGGCGGGAAAAGGAAATACCCACACACCGCCCATACAACATCTTCCCACCAAATGGATACCCCTGCAACTTTATCGAAAAGTGCCTGGCCACTCAACGTACTCCGACACAACCGACACAAGCTATGAAAAGGATCACGCTGCCATACATCAGAAACGTCTCAGAAACCACTAACAGGCTGCTACCGCCACACGGCCTCACCGTAGCACACAAAATCACTCCAAAATATCCTAAGTCAACCCAAAGACCCCGTAGCCCAAGAAGAAAAAACGGGGGTCATCTACAACATACAGTGTAAGGACTGTCGCGGCCACTGTGTAGGACAGGCAGGCAGAAGGCCGGCAGAGCGCATCCACGAGCACCAACTAGCAGTCAGAAGACACGACGGAAACTCCTTCATCTCACAACACGTGGACAGACCCAACCACAGTTGCAGCTGGGAAACTGTCAGCATCCTAGACCAAGCTAAATCCAAAAATGCGAGGGAACTCCTGGAAGCTTGGCACTCAGACAAGTCAGCTGTCAATAGGCACATAGAGATAAACCACCTTTACACACCATTCAGGAGACAATAAAAAGGCTAAGAAGGAAACAAAAAGACCAGAACACATCCTCTCCAGCAGCCAATACACAGATAAGCCGGGATTAACTCCAGACAAACAATTAAGCAGAGAAGAATACCCTAACCAAGGAGAAAACCACACACCACCCACACTGGCTACTCTATCCAAGGTATAAATCCTGCCCGCCACCCACACTGGCAGGGCAAGCTACTGTATATAAACAGGGAGCAGACCCCAGACTCACCAGCACTGATGATGTTCCCTAGTCAGGTCATGAAATGTCTGCAAGCAAAGCACCAAGCTCAGGGAGCGCCAAGGACGCCACAGTACAACCCTGAGCTACAGATATTCTCTTCTATTGGATTTTCAAAAGTCTTCCCAGCTCAGCCTGGTCTTTTCTAAAAATTATTTCTCCATCTCTGGAAAGCATCCCTAAGCCAGAATTTAGGGTGAGGAAAGACAGTGAGATGTGGCTGCTTCCTGCCCCCACTCCCAAGTCCAGCCATTCCAGCCTGATTGGAGCAGGGGGATTACCTGGCTGAACTACCTGGTTCCAGACAGCTGGGAGTGGGCTTCCTTAGTGACACCCCCCAGCTTTGGAACACAGACCCCGCCCCAGAAGGACTTGCCTGCCCCCTGCTTTGCATTCCTTTTTGTGCCAGGCAAAACCTTGCTTATTTTCCAACATCTTTCAATGCTGGTTTCCAACATTGTGTTGCAAGGCAACTCTGTTTTTATTAGCCGTTTCATTTATTGGCTCTATTCAATTTTATGAAGTCCCATGAAGATTTGCCGTCGGAAGACCTGAAGGTTGGGGACAGATCATCACAGAGAAAATCTATCTATACAGTTGCTAAGAGTTGACAACCAGTTGATGGCACTTAAGCAATCAATTAATGGATTGTTTTAATTATGCTGTTCCTTTTGGTGTTAATTTCGGCCTTTTTTGACATTCGTTTCTAAAATGCCTTGTTTTTAAAAAAACCAGAAGACAAAACTGTCTGGAGACAAAAAATTGTTCTGAAAGGCAACATCTACATTTTGAAATAAATATATAAATGGAGGGTGAACTCCTGCTGGCATGCTGGGGAGACCCAGGAAGAAGAAGGAGAAGGAGAAGGAGAAGGAGAAGGAGAAGGAGAAGGAGAAGGAGAAGGAGAAGGAGAAGGAGAAGGAGAAGGAGAAGGAGAAG